GCTCAAAACCGGCCAGCCAAATCCCATTCACATTAAATCACAACTGGGCTAGAAAGAGTCTTACCCCCTGGTCATAAGAGAATTAATATGGTACGAGTGAAATACCGCAAAATTACAACACTTTACAATTCAGAAGTGAGTTCAAATATCAACAGGTATTTGATGCAGCATTTAATTTGGCAATCCAGTAATAAATGTCTTGTGAAACATACCTTCAGTACCAGATATGCATCTTCAAGTCCCAAGGCTTCTCTAAACACATCCTGTGTATGATCTGTAGTTGTATTTTCTGAGATAGTGATGGCTGTGGGTGTTTGGTTTTCAAGGTTATTATCTTTTGAAAGGTAAAAACATGAGCAGATTACACTAATGAAAATGGCAATACACAACACTATGGTTCTATTTTTTGCACCAAACAGATTGTGTTGATCAAAATAAACACATGTGAACTTAGATTGCAAAGACATTATTCTAACCCTCTAAAGCTTGAAAATGTTTTTTTACTGGGAACAAAGTGTGAAATTTTGTTAACCAAAATAAATTTACTAGCCAGGTCCATAAGCTGGATATTTAGTTACTCACTCGTTGGCTATTAAGAACAATGATTAATGGCTTACTGTTAAATACTTTATTTTAGCTGGAATTAATTTTCACTGAAAAGACTTTTTGGTTGTTTTGTATGGAATTTATTTTCACTGATTTTTGATGAGTTGAATGTAAAATATAGGGAAAAAAGTATATTCGCCTGATATTATTTTCACTGAATCATTCCTTCTGCGAAAATAGCGAAATTAATTCCAAGCAAATATAAAGTATTCTACAGTATTGAAAGACCACACAGATGATACAAACCAAAAACATCTTGGCATATTACAAATGCCCTATTAATGCAAGAATGTAAGCAAAGCATTGACCAAATAGGCTAGGTTAATGTGTTCAAGAAGCAACATAATTTGTTTTGGCTATCTGATTGTGCAAATAACCACAACCAGCATTGTGGAATTTATATTTCTATTTGAGATTCCAAAGACACACAAGGTATGGTGACATAGACAGGGGTGTAATATGCATGTACAACAATTTATATTCACAACTCAGGAAGGAACAGTCACCACGGATTATACCGACTGGATAAAAAGTAAACAGTCTTAATACTCTGAGAGTATCCAAGTCTGCAATGACATTACACATTTGTATCAAACTAAGAACAGCATTACATTTTTTTTATTGGCCATTTGTCATAAATTAATAAAAAATTTTTATTATGAAATTGGATATTGCTGATGCCTGCAACCTTGAAAATGA